TCCCTAGGCAATGTATTCCAGTGTTTAACCACCCTGACAGTAAGGAACTTTTTCCTAATGTCCAGCCTAAACCTCCCTTGCTGTAGTTTAAGCCCATTGCTTCTTGTCCAACAATTTTTCTCTCTCCTCCTTGTGACACCCTTTTAGATACTTGAAAACTGCTATCTTGTCCCCTCTCAGCCTTCTCCTTTCCAAACTCAGCAAGCCCAATTCTTTCAGTCTTCCCTCATAGCTCATGTTTTCTAGACCTCTAATCATTCTTGTTGCTCTTCTCTAGACCTTCTCCAGTTTCTCCACATCTTTATTGAAATGTGGTGCCCGGAACTGGACACAGTACTCCAACTGAGGCTTCATCAGCGCAGAGCAGAAGAATGACTTCTTGAGCCAGTGCTGGGGGAAGCCAGCTCTGTCAGAGGCCTCAGTGTTGGGGGTGGGCCAGACGAGGCTGCCGCAAAGCAGTCTCTGCCAGTGGTGAACTCAAGTGGGTCTGGCCCACGAAAGCTCATCATCTAATAAACCATCTTGTTAGTCTTTAAAGTGCTACATAGTCCTGTATTTTGCTACAGGCAGAGACTTCTTCTGGCTGGTCAGGCAGCCCGGCTTAGTCCCGGCCCGTGCCAGGTCCAAACCCTGCTGCGACTCTGCACTATAAAAGGCAGTAGGAGCCAGGGGGCAGGCTGCTCGGCTCCTACTGCCTTTTAAATTGCAGAACTGCAGTGGGATTTGGTCCCAAGAGCAAGAGAGTCAGCTGCCTTGCCCTATTGATTAGTCGATACAAATTCTATTGGCAACTTGATTAGTAAATTAACCTAATTTTAACATCCCTAACACATCTAATAATATGGTCTTAATAAAGAGTGAAAGTTGTTTGTGTTTTGGGTTTTTTTAGTTAATTGTCTACCGTAACATTAAATGAGCACTGTCTCATATTTTTTATAAAAGTTGTCAAATTTGCAAGAATAAGGCCAAGTGACATGCTTGATTTTGTGATTTTTGTTGTATGAAAAAAGTTGAATGGCAGGCTTTTAATTGATATATATTCTTGAGATGTTAGTTGAAAGGGGGTGTTGCTTCTGTACTTCCCAAGAGAGACATGACACTTCCCTTTGTTACTGAAACAAAAGGCAGGACTATGCAGCACTTTAAAGACTAACAAGATGGTTTATTAGATGATGAGCTTTCGTGGGCCAGACCCACTTCCTCAGATCAATTTGTGGAAGAAAATTGGCACAACCATATATACCAAAGTGATACAATCAAAAAAAAAGTGAACACATATATCACTTTGGTGTATATATAATTGTGCCAATTTCCTTCCACAAATTGATCTGAGGAAGTGGGTCTGGCCCACGAAAGCTCATCATCTAATAAACCATCTTGTTAGTCTTTAAAGTGCTGCATAGTCTTGCCTTTTGTTTCAGTTAGACCAGACTAACACGGCTGCATCTCTATCCCTTTGTTACTAACATCTTTGATTTCAGTATGAGCTGCATGTGCATCCGAGGACATGTAAAGTGGCATTAAAAAATTCATTTTGCTTTAAATTCATAGTGAATCAAGGAATGAATTAAACACCTGAGGAATATAGCTTCTAAAAACCTTGCTCCTAATGATGAGAGGTTCAACTTTAAACAGACTGCGTTCAGTGAAAGTGTAGATTTTATTTTTCCATTTCTAATCTTTACATGACATTGTGTGGAGAGAAGATAGATCTGTTATACATTGTCACACTAATTAGCTTTTATAAAAGTCATAAAATGACTGTCTTTTCTTTCTATTTTGGAGACTACTTTAAAATCAAAGTACAAAAAGATATGCAAGAGTTTATAAAAACTGTCCTCTAATTCACGTGCACAGTGTCTCTTACTAGTGTTTCTAGTGGCTTTGCAGAATAGAGGCCCTGCTGTGCGGATCTAGTGCTTAGCATGTCAAGAGTATCAGCCATCACAATCTGTGCAGTTAGCACTCTGGCACAAAACCAGATTGATTTTTCAAGGTGTTTTATATAATACAGAACCATTCATGTCATGTATCTTTGTTTGTCTATCAGTGGCTGCTACTCATCAGGTAGTAGTTTTCTCTGCTTGATTTTAATGTTTAGGGAAACCTCTGAGCCATGATTGGAATGTATTGCAAACATTTTTTTAAATTTCAGAGGGTGGAGAAAGCTACTGCGGGGAGGCTGTTTTAGATTTGATTTTAACAAATAGGGAGGAACTGGTTGAGAATTTGAAAGTGGTAGGCAGCATGGGTGATATTGAAATGATTTGAGTTTATTATTCTAAAGAATGATAGAAGGGAGAACAGTAAAATAACAGTGCTTTTCAAGAAGGGAGACTATAGCAGACTCGGAGCTGGTAGGTAATGTCCCATGGGAACCAAAGCTAAGAGGAAAAACAATTGAAGAAAGATGGCAGTTTTGCAAACTGACATTCTTAAGAGCTCAAAAGCACGCTATTCTACTGTGTAGAAAAGATAGGAACATGGCAAGAGACCACCCTGGCTTAAACAGGAGATTGTGAATTCTCTAAAAATCAAAAAAGAATTAAAGGGGAAACTAGGTCAAAGTACAAAGGATGAATATATTAAAAAAAGTGTAGGTGCAAAATTAGAAAGGCGAAGGCACAAAATGAGTTCAGTCTAGCTAGAGTCATAAAGGGTAACAAGAAAACATTTTACAAATAGAAACAAGAGGAAGACAAAAGACAGGGTAAGCCAATTGCCCAATGAAGAGGGAAAAACAATAACAGAAAATGTGGAAATGGCAGAAGTGCTTAATGACTTCTTTGTTTTGGTTTTCATCAAGAAGGTTGGTTGGTGGTGGTTGGAAGCCTACAATAGTGAATGCTAAAGAAAAGAAGGTAGGTTAAAATATGAAAAGAAAAAGTTAAGAATTACTTAGAAAATCTAGATGTCTTAAAATTACCATGGCTTGATGAAATTCATTCAAGAACACTCAAGGAGCTGATTGAGGCGGTATTTGAGCCATTAGTTATCATCTTTGGAAAGTCAAGGAAGCCTACAGAGATTCCAGAAGACTGGAAAAGGGCAAATCTAGTGCCCATCTATAAAAAGGGAAATGAGAACAACCCTGGAAACTACAGACCGGTCAGCTTAACTTCTGTGTCAGGAAAGATATGAAGCAAATAATTAAGGAATTCATCTGCAAACATCTGGAAGATAGTCGGGTGATAGGTAACAGCCAGCATGGATTTATAAAAAACAAATTGTCAAACAAACCTGATAGCTTTCTTTGATAGGATAACAAGTCCTGTTGATAAGGGGGAAAGCAGTAGATGTGATATACGTAGACTTTACTAAAGCATTTGATTACGGTCTCGCATGATCTTCTGATCAATAAACTAGGTAAATACAGCCTAGATTTAGCTATTACAAGGTAGGTGCATAACTGGCTGCATAACCATTCTCAGAGAGTAGTTATTAATGGTTCACAGTCATGCTTGAAGGACATAACAAGTGGGGTTCTGCAGGAATCAGTTTTGGTCCGGGTCTGTTCAATAGCTTCATCAGCAATTTAGATAATGGCATAAAGAGTACGCTTACAAAGTTTGCATATGATACCAAGCTGAGAGGAATTGCAAGCGTTTTGAAGGATAGGGTCATAATTTAAAATGATCTGGAGAAATGGTCTAATGTAAACAAGATGACGTTTAATAAGGACAATTGCAAAGTACTCCACTTAGCAAAGAACAATCAGTTTCACATATACAGAATAGGAAGCGACTGTCTAGGAAGGAGTACTGCTACAAGGGATCTAGTGGTCATAGTGCACTGCAAGCTAAATATGAGTCGATAGTGTGACACTGTTGGGGCGGAAAAAAGAAGCAAACATGATTCCGGGATACATTAACAGGAGTGTTGTGAGCAAGACATGAGAAGTCATTCGTCCGTTATACTCTGCGCTGATTAGGCCTCAGTTGGAGTATTGTGCCCAGTAGGGATGTAAAATCCTGTTTAATTCATTAACCAGTTAAACGTTAACGCACAGTGAGAGCGCTGTTTCCAGATGATGGTTAATTGATACCCATTCACACCCCTAGTGTCCAGTTCTGGGCACCACATTTCAGAAAAAATGTGGAGATGGTCCAACGAAGAGCAACAAAAATGATTAAAGGTTTAGAAAACATGATCTATGAGGGAAGACCTATAAGAATTGGGTTTTATAGTGTAGAAAAGAGATGGAGGGGAGACACAAGAGCTTTCAAGTACTTAAAAGGGTGTTACAAGGAAGAGGGAGGAAAATTGTTTTCCTTAACCTTTGATGATGGGACAAGAAGCAATGGGTTTAAATTGCAGTAAGGGAGGTTTAGGTTGGACATTAGGAAAAACTTCCTAATTGTCAGTGTGGTTAAGCACTGGAATAAATTGCGTACAAGGGTTGTGGAATCCATTGTCTAACCTTTTAAATATCTCCAAACATCTGTCAGGGATGCCCTAGATGGTGTTTGGTGCTGTCATGAGTACAGGGACTAGATTTGATGAGCTCTTGAGATCCTTTCCAGTTCTAGTATTCTATAATTATCTCTGGAGAGTGACTGACTAACAGGATGTTCTTAATTTGCCAAGTATGCATACGATGTGGTGATATTGATATTTAAGAATCCATCATATGTAGAGGTTTGAGTGGAATTTCTTTTAAAAAGCTATTAGGTCTGAGAAGAAGAAAATCACTGGAGAACTAGCTGTTTAGAAAGGAAAAGTGTTTTAAGGCTAGGTTAGATGTTTTCCTACTGGGGTTGACTGACAGCTGGAAATGGGAGATTGGTGGAGGTTATGTATGTTGTTATGCAGTGGGGAACTGGGAAAAAAACTTACTATTTTTTGACAAGCTACTTTTTTGTCTATATCTGTCTTGTCTGAGTTAGGCAGCACACAAATATAGACTACAAAAAAGTATCTAACAGAATAGGTTGGCGGCACCTTTTGTTGCTACCAGAATATATATAAATAAATACAATTTGTTTGTATATAGTAGATTTGGCTCAGAGTTTAAAAACATTTAGAGGCATAGTTGCCCCCCTCTTAGAAAAAATAAAGATGAAAAACAAATTATTTCTCAGCACTGGAGATTAAATGTTTGGTTCTATCTCGTGTAACATAGCATTTCACATTTCTGTTCGTTGTTCAAACTAGTCTTTGTATTCATTCACCTGTATAAACAGAACTAACTGCATTGTGTCTTCTGGATCAGAAAGTAAGGAAGAGTTGGCAGTTTAGTTTTCTGCCTGTAATCTGTCTGAGTCAACAAGAACAAGTTGTGACCATTGTATAGTTTGGGGGAGATTGCTTTCATTAACAGTGTTATCATTAAGCTTATACTGAGATTGTCTGTTTAAAATTTATTTAAAAAAACAGATGAGCAACAACAGTAATAAGAGAGCACCAACAACAGCAACACAGAGACTTAAGCAGGACTACCTTCGAATTAAAAAAGATCCAGTGCCTTATATCTGTGCTGAACCCCTCCCATCAAATATCCTTGAATGGTAAGAATCAGAATGAATTATTCCTACAAACATAGAAACCCAGACCATCTGGGTCATCATCTGAGCTTCACGTACACCTTCCTTTTTGTGTTGGCCTCTCTTTTTTGATGTGATGGGTAGTAAAAGGGGGGAGAATATGAAGCTGCTGAGCTGAGGTGGTAAACCCATTTATGATTTGTCTTCCCTTTGGAAATTTGATACTTATAAGATATTGGGTGTCCCTCCTCTAATACAAAATTACATTGTTCCTTTAGGCACTATGTTGTACGAGGACCTGAAATGACTCCATATGAAGGTAAACATTCACTTTTTGCAAAAGCATGAACAGAATGTATATTCTCTATATTTGATGAGGAGTTCATAACTCTTTTTATATAACAAAAGTGGTTCTTAATTCATGAAAGCAACAGTTTACTTATAAAACTATAACACTTGCCTTTGACTTGTGTGATAGTATTTGCATTGTCCTCAAATAATTCCCTGTAGCACCAAGGAATTCTAACAAATCCCTTAGTGTTCCTCAAAGTCTTAGAACAGTTCTTTATTATCTTTTTTCATGTGACACGCTTAGTTTTTTTTGCTTAAAGAAATCTGATTTTTAGCAATTGTCACACATCTGGGAAGTAGAGAGTGCCCAGCTAGCCAGATGAACAGTGTTAAAAATAGCCCAATTTTGACAGTTTTTATTTCAAAACAAAAAAACTGGCTAATAAAACTTATTTCTGAGTTATTGAGTACAGGCAGTCCCCGACTTATGTCGGATCCGCACTTACGAACGGGGCTTTTCTCGCCCCGAAGCTCGCGGGCGGCGGGACCGCCCAGAGCGCAGCGGTCCCGCCACCGCATTCTCCGGGGCGAGAAAAGCTGCTCCGGGTCTCCCTGGTGTGCTGGGGGGGACTCCCCAGCACAGCAGGGAGGGGCGAGAAAAGCCACACAGGTGGCGGGACCCCGCTGCCTGTGCGGCTTTGCTCCTTTGTCCCGGAGCAAAGCCGCACAGGCGGCGGGGTCCCCCGCCTCTGTGGCTTTGCTCGGGTCTCCCTGGGCCGCTGGGGGGGGGGGGGGGAGCACAGCAGGGAGACAGGAGACAAGCCGCAGAGGACCTCT